CAGTAATAAATACCCATGTTAGGGTGTGGCTCAGTGATAGATCCTTTGGTATTCACCAGTTCGAGTTTCCCTCCCAGCATAACTCCCCACCACCCCCAAGAGCCCAAATGTTAAGATTATCTTCTTTAAGCAAGGTGAGGTGGCACAAACCTTAAGTCCTAACACACTGGAGATTTTGAGGCCAACATGGTCTAGTGAGTTCCAGGCCATCCAGTGCTACCTGCTGAGACCTAGTCTCAAATTAACTAATAAATCATCTTTCAAATAATAATCTTTCTCAAATTCCATGTCCAGTCTTTAGTGTTTTGCCTTTAGTGACCAATCCAGCTCTCAAAAAAGTACCACCCACAAATTCTGACATGTATTCCAGGGGTCAAAGGGTACCTGATTGACTTCTAAGGCTTTCTTTTTAATAATTTTTATTTTTATTTTATACGTATGAGTGTATTGTCTACATGTATGTGAGTGCACCCATGTACTGCAATGCCACATAGGTCAGAAAAGGGCTTTGGATTCCCCTAGAACTGGAGTTAAGGACGATTTGTAGCCATCATGTGGGTGCTGGGAATCGACCCCAGGTCCTCTGCAAGAGCAGTCAGTGCTCTTAACTGCTGAGCCATCTCTCCAGCCCTGGCTTCTAGGCTTTCTTACTGATGTACAAGTACAGGGCAGTGGGGCTGTCTTTGCCATATGTATGCAGCATAGAGAAGGGACTTAATACACAAATTTTTGATAACCAAATGAAATACAAGGACATTGTGTTCAAATCTTCAAATGGACTGTTTTCCTAAAACAGTCACTCTAGGGGCTGGAGAGATGGCTCAGTGGTTAAGAACACTAGCTGTTCTTGCAGAAAACCCAGGTTCAAATCCCAGTACCCACATGGCAACTAACAACTGTCTGTAACTCCAGTTCCAGGGGATCCTGTCCTACGTAGCCACTGCACTACACGAGTGCACTTACCTCCATCCAGGCAATACACTTATTATACACATATAAATAAAGTATTTTAAAAAATTAAAAAACAGTCACTCTAGAATCAAAAGTAGACAGGGCTGGGAATTTGGAATAGTGGTAGACTGCTTGCTGTGCATGCATGAGACCAATGGTTCAAATTCCAACACTGTAAGAAAAAAAAGGAGAGGATGTGCCATACTGAATTCATCACTAGAAAACAAACTTTTTGGAGTGAGCTGACATGTCATGTTGTCAAGTATCATATTTGCAGCAGTATTTCTTTGGTATCAGTAAATTCTTAATTCCATTATGAATAACCCACAGGTCAGAGATCAAGCCATATATATATATATATAAAACCCATCTTGGTATCAAGTAATTTCTACATCACTATGCTCTATAGTGTGACAGTTAAGTCTGGAAAAGGGTAGTGTCAGCAAAGCAATCCACTAGAAACAGTAATCTCTGACTGAAAAATATTTTGGGATGAACTTTTTTCAATGTAGCAAAAACTTAATGGTAGAAACAGACACCAAATACATTGAATCCTATGGTCAAGACTGGGGTCCTCCCTATGTAGGAAGTGTCAAAATGCAAACAATATTCTCATACTTTACCAGATGTGGTGATGTATGCATAAAATCCAAGTACTCTGGGGGCTAAGCAGGTAGACTATCACAGGGCAAGGCCACCCTGAGCTATACAGTAATACCGTCTTTAAAAAAAAAAAAAAAAAAAATTCTCCACTTCCAGGAAAGCCTAAGATGCTGAGGGCAAAAATTTCTTGATATTATAAAGTTTCTTCCTGACCTCAAGAAGGAATAGAGGCCCAAATGATCAACTCCACAATGGGAGGCACGAGAAATGAAGAATCAATGAAATCAGGACACTGTAGATTATATTGCAGACATTGATAATATGGCCTTGGGAAAATCCCGTATTCTCTGTTTTTCTAAAGATCTGATGTGTCTCCATCCTACTGTATTCATGTCAATAAATTTCAGAGCACTGAGAGCAAGAAAAACTAGTGATCTATTAGTCACTCCAAATCCAGGGAGGCTGAGCTCAGGCATTGCACCGATTTTGTTATTTTCCAACTCCATGTGAACTCTGGTTGGGCCAGCATTACTCATTAGTGCGTATCTTTATTTTTTGGTCTTTATAAGACAGAGTCTCCCTGTAGCACCAGCTGGCCTGGAACTTACTATGTAGACCAGGCTAGCCTTGAACTCAGAGTTCTGCCTGCCTCTGCCTCCTGAGTGCTGGGATTAAAGGCATGTGCCACCACGCCTGGCTCATATCTTTTTATTTTATGGGCTGACCTAGTCTCTCTGCAGCTGCACACAAAACTTCTTTGTTACAAACACCTTGGAGAAAGATTAGGACTCTTGTTCACGGACATATTCACAGTATCTTCTTGCTGATGCTAACTAGGAACTTAAGTCACAATCTGCATGCTGGCATGGAGAAATATCTAATTCATTTACTCAAGTTCAGCAAATATTTACTGAGTAACTTTAAGTGCTAGGTTTTCTGGATACAAAGATGAAAATCACAAAATTCCTGATTAATAGAAATGACAGTTCAATATTAAAAAAAAAAAAAAAAAGATATGTAGGGGCTTCCCCAGGGCTGGAGAGATGGCTCAGCGGTTAAGAACACTGGTTGTTCTTGTAGAGGACCCAGGTTCAAATCCCAGCACCCACATAGCAGCTAACAACTGTCCATAACTCCAGTCCCAGGGAATCTGACAGCCTCTTCTGTCTCCCGTGGGCACTGCATGACACAGGTGCATTTACCTACATGCGGGCAATACACGCATACACATAAAAATAATAAAATTTTTTTAAAAAGGTGTGTAAACCAACTTAATGTAACATGACAAAACTGAGAAGTAGAGCACTGAAAAACTATGTGTGCTTAGGAAAAATTGTGTACATATGCCAAGGTAGACTCCAGTAATGCTCTTTGCAGAATCACAGGAATTTATAATGAGAAGGGCAAGTCCAGGTGGCGATGTAGACATGGGTCAGATAAGAGGACTGATGTGCCTATTTAAAGGGCTTGGCTGTAATGAATAAAGCTTCCATTTCTTACAAAGGTCATCCACAATATGAAAGATGGCTTACTAGAGTGAAAAACAGGGTACTTGTATGATAAACTAGAGAGATAAAATAAGGGAACACTAATAGAGATTGTTCTGATATTTAAGAGGTAACTCAAGATATAGTGGTTACATGGATGGTTGGAGGAAAGCAAAATTCCTAGATTCATGGCCACAATAGAATCACTAGGCATATTCTTGTGCAAGCAACTAAAAGAAAACCAGGAGCAGACATGAGCCAGTGTGGGTAGTGAAAAGATTTTATCATTTTATGGGTTCCCCATGAAGTCAAAATGTGGCAATCTATCTCAGTCCAAGGTTCAACATTTAAGGCTATATTCATTCTGCTTAAGAAAATCTCAGAACTTAAGAGATCTTTCATTCTTAATACATATTTTTTTTTTCAAGTAAAGTCTCCTAGTCTGTTCTCTGGTCAAAATTCCAAAGCTACACCACCAACAATTAAGAGGTAAGATAAAAGGACTGTAGCACATTTAAGGTCAGTTTGGTTTACATGTGAAGTAATAGGCTAGCCAGGACTATGGGGACAACTCTTCTTTTGAAATAACAAAATACTGCTGTGGCAAATATTACTCTAATTGCCTTCACATTAAGAAGTTCCTAAAAGTCTTATTAGGGAAAGATTTTAACTCAGGGCTGGCAAGATGGCTCAGCAATTAAGAGAACAGGCTGCTCATGCAGAAGACATGGGTTCGGGTCCCAGCACCCACATGACAGCTAACAACCATCCACAACTCCAGTTTGAGGGGATTCCAATGCCCTCTTCTGACCTTCTCAGGCCCTGCATGACACAGGCTCACATACATACATGCAGGCAATACAAATGTACATATAAAGTAAATTTTAAAATGTATTAACTGACCAAATAAATACACCTTGAACATTAATGTGTGACAGCAATTAAATCTATAGTGTTATTTTCACTTAGCATGTATAAACACATTGATATTGCCTTCCAAAAACATATGTACTTTCATGAGGATAAAATATTTCATAGCAAGTTTTCTCATATAAGGTATTAACATCATCAATTATGAACTCCCATAGAGTAAGTTCTGAAAACATAATATTCATAGCTAGAGAAAAAAAGAAAATGTGTTATTTCCATATTCTCATGAATATTCATTAAGAACCAAAAAACAATGCTTGTTAAGACAGATAAATGCTGAGTTCCAAATAAAGATCCACTTTGAGATCAACTTATTTTGGATGTTTTTAATACCATTTTTTAAAAGAGTGCATACTCCACAGTTTAAGAATGATTTAAAATAATGTTGAAAGGCTTTCCACAATCTTTTAGAGTTCTGGGTGGCAGTTAAGAACATGGAGGTTTAGAAAATAAAGGAACACTGCAACAAAAATGCTATCTTGACTTTCAGAGATTTAAAAAAGGAAATTCTCTTCTGAACTCTTTCCAAGGCAATTCTTTGACAAATTTAAACACTCTCTTAAAGTCTAGCCCAGCAGCTTCAAA